CATAGCCGGGGGGTATGCAGGAGGTGGAGAATCGAGCTCAGCCCGTAAGGCCTATGCAAGGAGAATGCGAAGCTCATCTGAGGTGTGCGAAGTGGGAGTTCAGATTCAACATCGAAAGATGCCTCGTTTAGGTGATCCAGTTATTACATTCTCAGATGAAGACATGAAAGATGTGCAGCAACCTCATGACGACCCTCTTGTCGTCACCATGATGATCGCTAACTATAATACTCGGCGAATCTTTGTAGATAATGGAAGTTCAGCTGATATCATTTTTCTTGATGCATTCAGCAAGATGAAGATTGGTAAGGAGAAACTCAGACCTACCAGATCACCATTGGTGGGATTCACGGGAGACAAAGTCTATCCTCTAGGAGCAGTCATCCTTCCTGTCACTGGAGGAACCAGCCCAAAACAAGTCACTGTCATGGTCGACTTCCTGGTGGTGGATTGTCCATCTGCTTACAATGTCATCCTAGGAAGAACGACCTTAAATTCGATAAGGGCTATCACTTCGACTTATCACCTATTAATGCGCTTCCCTACCGAGCATGGCGTGGGCGAACTAAGAGGAGATCAGTCCATTGCCAGAGAATGCTACGTTGCCTCTCTCAAAGAAAAGAGACAGCAGGAGGCTTTGATTGTCGATGAAGTTGAAGAGAATGAGCAAGACCGGGCTAAGCCAATCGAGGACTTGGTAGAGATATGCTTGAATGACACTGACGTAACAAAAAAGGTGAAGATAGGGTCTCTGCTCCCCTCAGATTTCACAAATATTCTTATACAGTTCCTCAGACAGAATCAAGATGTATTCGCCTGGTCACATGAAGACATGCCCGGTATTAATCCAACTACGATTGAGTATCGATTAAACACAGATCCTACATTCAAACCTATCAGGCAAAAGCGAAGAACATTTGCCGCGGAAAGGAACATGGCTATATCAGAAGAGGTGAATAAGCTTATGAAAGCTGATTTCATCCAGGAGGTTCATTATCCCGACTGGTTGGCCAATGTTGTTTTGGTAAAAAAGGCCAATGGAAAATGGAGGTTGTGTGTAGACTTTACGGATTTAAATAAGGCGTGCCCCAAAGACAGTTTCCCTCTACCAAGAATTGATATGTTGGTAGAAGGGACAGCTGGCCATGAGCTGCTCAGTTTTATGGATGCATACTCAGGGTATAACCAAATCTCAATGCACACGCCAGACAGAGATAAAACCTCTTTCATCACAGACCGAGGTTTATATTGCTATAAGGTGATGCCTTTTGGGCTAAAAAATGCTGGTGCAACATATCAGCGGCTAGTAAACCTGATGTTTAAGGACCAAATCGGAAGGAATATGGAAGTGTATGTGGATGACATGCTGGTAAAAAGCTTGAAAGCTCAAGACCATCTGGTTAATCTATAGGAAACGTTCAAGTCCTCAGGAAACACCAGATGAAGCTCAACCCAAGTAAATGTGCCTTCAGAGTCTCCTCTGGGGAATTCCTCGGTTACATGGTAAGTAGAAGAGGGATAGAAGCTAACCCTGAGAAGGTCCAGGCGATTCTCAACATGCAGTCTCCAGCATCGACCAAGGAACTTCAAAGATTGACAGGAAGGATCACAGCTCTGAACAGGTTGATTTCCAGGGCGACCGATAGGTGTTTGCCTTTTTTCCGTGTGCTCAGGAAAGCTTTTTCATGGACCCCTGAGTGCGAGCAAGCTTTTACAGAGCTAAAGGAGTATCTCACTTCACCACCATTATTGTCGCGGGCGATGCAAGGAGAACAGTTGTATTTGTACTTGACAGTTTCTCCGTCGGCAGTAAGCTCAGCCTTGGTCCGCGAAGAGGATGGAAACCAGAAACCGGTATATTACATTAGTCGTGCATTCAGGGGGGCGGAAGAAAGATACCCAAGGATAGAAAAGTTGGCATTTGCTCTAGTTATCTCCGCGAGGAAACTCAGGCCTTACTTCTAAGCTCATACAATAATAGTATTGACGGACCAACCACTTAGGCAGGTTCTCCGCAAACCTGATACTTCAGGGCGACTCATGAAGTGGTCGGTAGAACTTGGAGAGTTCGATATCCAATACAAACCCCGAACGGCCTTAAAAGCCCAGGTACTGGCAGATGTTATAGCGAAATTCACACCAGAAGATGGGCCCGAGCATGCTGCAGATAAGCAGGAAGAAGCCGAATCTATTTGGACGTTATATGTGGATGGGTCTGTCAACGCCCGTGCAAGTGGGGCAGGGCTAGTAATTATCTCCCCAAATGGGGAATGCATTAAATATGCACTCAGGTTTGGTTTTAAAGCAACCAACAATGAGGCAGAGTATGAAGCCCTCCTAGCAGGCCTCAGGATGGCGAAAGCTTTAGAAGTTGAACGACTAGTAGCATATACTGACTCTCAACTAATAACTGGACAAGTCCAGGGGGAATATGAAGCCAAGGATGAGAAGATGAAGACCTATTTACATAAGATAGAGGATATCAAGGGTTTTTTTAAGAAGTTTTCTATTCACCGGATTCCCCGAGAAGAGAATGCGCAGGCAGACGCCCTGGCTCAACTGGCAACCACAGAGGAAGATAAAGCCATACCCGTGGGATATTTGGATGAGCCTAGCACGGTCTGGGATTGGCCACAGAAAATACACCAGGAGGCCCATGGCATGGAGTGGGCAGAACCCATTATCAGGTACATTGAGAACGAAGAGCTACCCCAAGACCGCATGGAAGCACGAAAGATTAGGATGCGTGCGGCAAAATATTCCCTCGTTGATGGGGTTCTCTATAAGAAGGGATTTTCTCTACCCTACTTGCGTTGTGTCTCCATTGATGAGGCAAATTACATTTTAAAGGACATACATGAAGGCCTTTGTGGAAATCATGCTGGGGGCAGATCACTAGCGCATAAAGCTATCCGACAAGGATACTTTTGGCCTACTATGAGGACAGATGCACTTGAGTTTGTGAAGAAATGTGATAAGTGTTAGAGATTCGCCAATGTCCCAAAACAACCAGCAGAAAAGTTAACCCCTCTTACAGGGCCGTGGCCTTTTGCCCAATGGGGGACAGACCTCATCGGCCCCTTACCCCAAGGGAAGGGACAAACTAAATACGTAATTGTAGCTATCGATTATTTCACCAAATGGGTAGAAGCTGAGCCATTAGCTCATATTGGAGCGAATGAAGTAAAAAAGTTTTTCTGGAAGACAATAATCTGCAGGTTCGGAGCACCAAGGGTAATTGTGACCGATAATGGGAAGCAGTTTAAAAGTGAGCAGTTCCTCGATTTTTGTAATGAACTTGGGATCAAAGTTCATTTCTCCTCTCCTGCCCATCCCCAAGCCAATGGGCAGGTTGAAGTCACGAATAGGACAATATTGAAGATGATCAAGACACGCCTAGAAAAGGCCAAGGGCTTGTGGCCTGAACAACTACCCGGAGTTTTATGGGCCTATCGCACTACTGTAAGAACCCCTACTGGGGAGACCCCTTTTGGGTTAGCTTTTGGAAGTGAAGCTGTGATCCCGGTAGAAACAAAGGTTGCTACCTTCAAAACCAAGTATTTTGAACCTCAACAGAACGGAATGGAACTACGATTAAACTTAAACCTGGTAGAAGAGAAAAGGGAGCAGGCCAAGGTCAAGGTTGCGGCTTACCAGCGGATGATATCCAAGTACTATAATGCCTGAGTCAAGCCAAGGAGGTTCGAGCCAGGAGACCTGGTGCTTCGTGAGGTTACCCCGGCTACTAAGGAAAAGGGGGAAGGAAAGTTAGCTCCCAATTGGGAGGGCCCTTATCGAGTAACCAAAAGCAACAGACCGGGGGCATACTGGTTAGAGTCACTTGGTGGAAGCCAGCTTCCCCACCCGTGGAATGCAGAACATTTGAGGAAATATTACCAGTAGGTACTCATGCCAGGCTGTGTTTTATTTTATTGTCTCACTTTTAAAAGTGATAGAATGTTTTTAGCTACAATAAAGCAGACCAGTGTGTAACGGGATGCTAATATTCAACTATCGATTATTATTTTCGATAGGTCTTTAATAAAATGGTTATTCGTATTTATTGCACGTGTTTCTACTGAATTTTTTAAGTCACATAAGGACTAGTGACACATTAAGTCCCCTTCTTTATTAAAAGAAATAAGTGACTTTTCCTTACTAAAGGGACGAGCTGGGTGAAGCTCGTAAAAATATGTTCCTTCGAAAGAAGGACGGGCTGAGTGAAGCCTGGGAAAGTAAAATGAGTTCTGTATAAGGAAACAACAAGTATGGAACAATACCATGAAAGACAAAAGTAGAGCAACTATTCTCTGGATTCAAAGATATTCTGAAAAGTTTTAAAGGAACAACATACTGAGAAATCAAAAAACCTAATATATATATATATATGACTAATACTATGGAATTCAATCTTCCTCTTCGCTCTCACTTAGAACGTCATACCTAGAAAAGTCTATGTCTGGACGATCTTTGCCGACAAGAGCTTTGAACCGGTCAAAACCATCACAGCAAGCCTTGCCTATGAGCACCTTGAATTCATCAGAATTTTTAAAACTCTCCACGGCAGCTAGCTTCTCGAATTCCAGCTTATCAGAGTATTCTTTGGTAACTTTCACTTTCTCATCTTGAAAGTTTAATTTTGCATTAGTCAAGTCATCTTCTTTTATTTTAAGTGTAGAAGTAAAATCTTCATATTTAGCCTTGAGGGAAGCCATCTCTAAGGAAAGCTTCTCGTATTCTTTGGCGATAACAACAGAGTATGTAGTGCCCTATAAATAAATAAATAGTGGCGAACAGTTAAAAATAAATAAATAAATAAACGAAAAAAAAGAGATGCGCATAATAAGGGTAAAATCTCACCTGGCTGATTAGATGAAGAAATTTCTTTGAAAGCTCAGATGCTGGCAGACTCTGCAATCTGGCAGTGTCGTCTTTTACTACCATTTTATGTAACCTATCATTCGCGACATTAGCGTCATCGAGAATCGATTCCCCGTGGGAAAAGGCTTGGTTGGTTGATACTAAACAAAAACTTTCGAAACTAGTAGGAACCCCACCAAATCCGCTGAAACCTAGAGGTACAAGAGTAGGACCTGATAACACTCCAGGGCTTGCGGATGTACCATGATTCCCTTCTCCTACCCTTCGTAATTTTTTGGAAGCAGGAGTAGAAGGGAGATTACTTGACCGGACTTGGGCTAGGAGTCTTTTACTGAGCTTCTTGCCTGCATAAAAAGTAATAAGGGAAATACTTAATGAGATATTAACTAAAAATCAATAAGTTCACATATAAGTATGTTTATTTTTCTTACCTTTCTCTAAGTGGGTGGAGGTTTCCTTTGAGTTATGAGCTCGTACATACAAATCTAAAGCCTCGTCAGTTATGAGATCGCTAAAGGTCTTTACTGGGTAAGAAGAGGCATTACCAACATGCTCGGCTTCTGGAATGGAGAGGGTTGGTTTGTCTTTAAATTCTGGGAAAAAGAATAATAAGTTGCACCTAAAAAAAAAAAAAAAAAAATTCCTATTCATGAACAGTACCTGAGGGTACTATTCCCTCGGGTGCAAAAAAAAAAAAAAAAAATTCCTATTCATGAACAGTACCCGAGGGTACTATTCCCTTGGGTGCCAAAAAAAAAAAAAAATTCCTATTCATGAACAGTACCCGAGGGTACTATTCCCTCGGGTGCAAAAAAAAAAAAAAAAAAAAAAAAAAAATCCTATTCATGAACAGTACCCGAGGGTACTGTTCCCTCGGGTACCAAAAAAAAAAAAAAAAAAAAAAAATTTAATTTGGAAACTATATACATATAAATCTTACCTGTTGGATCTGAATTATTCCAAATAGTTGGAAATTTCCCGTATGCACCGGAAATAAAGAAGAAAAGACTCTTCCAACCTTTATTATTTTCAGGGGTTGCAACAAGGAGGAATGTCTTCTTTGATCTACACTGGAAGTACCAAAAATTGTCTTTTTTCTTCTTGGGATAATAAAAATGCAGGAATTGATTTACTGTTAGACGGCCATTGCCACACTTTCCCCAAACAATCAAACAGCCTATAATAATTCTCCATGAATTAGAAGCAATTTGAGAAGGAGCTATCTTCAGATGAAAAAGAATTTCTTCTACAAATGGATGAATCGGAAAACGCAAGCCCGCAGCAAAAGTCGACTCGAAAAAATATACCTCACCCAAACGAATAGAAGAACATCTATCTTCTGGTTTGGGTTTGTGAAGACGAATAGATGAAGGAATGGAATATTTAACTCTACAACTCTGTAAAGTATCATCCTTCATTAAGGATTCTCCTTCACGAGGAGGTTGCTTGGAAAAAGCAGTCCTTGGTCTTGAGGAGTAATCAACACCAGATTCATCAGCATAGTCAGGATCGAGTTCTTCAACACTTTCAGAGGTTGAGTCCTCGGATTGAGATTCAGTATTCAAGTTATTTTTCTGCACGAACATGATGAGGTATCGGATATCGTGAAAATAGCGAAACTACTTTTGAATTACACCAATAACCTGGTAGAGACAACTTGACCTAATTACGTATCTACAACGATCCACAATAAACTCACAGTTAGGATCCAGTTTGGAGAATTTCAGACCAAAAAGAAAAGGAAGGTAAATAAATAAATATATATATTTATCTATTTATATGAAAGAAAATTCTTTTTCAAGTAACAGTGAAGTTCTTGTAAAGGAGTCCTACTACAATATGGAAGGGGCCTGTAGTAAAAAGGAAACAAATGGAATATAGAAAGTATTTCCTTGGTCCACCACGTACCCAGAAATAGGGGGCAACTGATAGGGAAAAATAACCCTAGCCTATCTTGACTTAACAAAAAAGGGAATTAAATATTGACCTGCCACCAGATTTCTCCAACTCTCAGACGATAATATCTCGTTATTAAGGATAACCATTCTATTAGATAAGAATGATGACAAATCGTATCTAGGATAGGATTTGTCATGGGATAAGTTCAAATCTTATCAAGGATAGGATTTCCACGAGGTAGGCTCCATGGGCTAAGGACGATGAAACTCCCTTATCAAGAAGAAGGGAAGTGACTATAAAGACAAAGACGACTCGGGGATAAGGTACACACAAAAAAAACTCCTACTAAGCAAATTACGATTAAAATTCTCTATCGAGAATCCTTGCTAACTTGATCGTCGGAGGGTCAACGGCCGGCACCACACCGGTGTTTGACTTTGCCATCCTTATTTTGCAGGAAACGGTGTCGTACTAGACCGCGGCGAAATTCAACCTCAACATATACCATGGATTTAGGGTTAATCTAGAACATTTAATGGAACCCTAGAACATGTATTAAATTATTTACAGAGGCTTGGGTATCACCGGATGCGAGGAAGATGAAGTGGAAAAACGCAGAACGCGTCGGAAAAAGAGAGAGCAGGCTCTCAAAATGAGAGAGCCAGCTCCCTCACACAAAGAGCCTGCTCCAAGGAGCATGGAGCCGGCTCCATGCTGAAAAGAGCAGGCTCCCTAAGTTAGGGAGCCGGCTCCAACATTTAAAAGAGCAGGCTCAAATTTTATGGAGCCTGCTCTCACCCAAATGCACACAAATTGGACTGTGGGCACTGTATGGACTGTTTAGATGATTACCACTTCGTATAAATTATTTAATTGATGTCTTGGGACTATAATAGGCTTAATATATTATGGGAAACATTAATCAATGATTAAGCATAAGAATGGAGCAAAATAAATCTAAGGAAAGCAGTAGATTGCAAACTGATTTTCTATTGTCGTTGGTTTCAAATATTGTGTTCAATACATGTTATGGTTGGATGTTAGAGGTTTATGATGTATCTAGGATTAAGATTGAACCTAGAACAAGGATTAAAAACATCACAGAGGGTGTAGGAAAACACCAGAGTTGAAGAAGATGAAGCCAGAACGGACAACGGCATCCAAGGGAGCAAAAGCAGGCTCCAAAAATGGAAAGAGCCAGCTCTAATATTCTTAGAGTAGGCTCTTGGCTGTTTAGAGCAGGCTCTTAGATCCTTAGAGCCAGCTCAATCCATAAAAGAGCAGGCTCAATTTTTCTAGAGCCTGTTCTTGCCTAGAAATCTCAAACAGTATGATTTTTATGCGTTAATTGGACTGTACAATGCATTAGGACTTCGTCTAACTTATTTTAAGTGTTGTATGGGCTGTTATAAACCTATAATAACATGGGAAAATAATAACTCAAAAATGGATTAAAGGATGGACTATATAAGTAAATAAGACTTAGGGGTTGCACACGGTTGGACAAGTTTTATTGGCACTGAAACTTAACAAGGATTGTTTATATGATTTAATTATAAAAATATATCATATTTCCATAGTATTATAAGTATAGTGAATTAACTAAAAATTCCCTATGCTTACCTTGGGTTTAATTGATACTCAAATTTCTATTAACGATATCAATTCGTGAACTATATTGGAAGATTTGCTAGGTTTATATACCTGAGCTTGGCCAGGTTGTTGTGTATGATTTAAATATATATATAAATCATAATTCTATAGTATTTGAAGTATAGGGAATTAACTGAATTTTCCTATGCTTACCTTGGGGGTAGAGGAAACTTAAATTTCTATTAACTGTATCAATTTTTGGACTATGATGGAGAATGTGAATGCTTAAATTTATTGTAGCACTTTACATAATTGGAATTGGATTTTAGGCCCGTATTGAATGCCTATTATTTATGTCTATGCATTAAATTTATCTTGTGCATATTGTGGAATGTGGTTGATGACTATTTAATAATGGTATGGTCAACTGTGTTAACTGGAGGATTGTATGTACCGGTATGGGACGGTGACATACTAGGTATGGATTAGTTAAAACACTAATCCTAACTAATTTGGAATGAGTTGGATTAACCATAAAAAAGTTAAGTCCTACTTATATGGATATATATATATATGAACCGGTATGGGACGGTGTCATATTAGGGATGGCTTAGTTCAAAATACTAAGACTTACTTATTTTGGGAATGGATTAGTTCAAAATACTAAGTCCTACCCAAACTGGATTAAGGTATGGATTAACCATAAAGGTTAAGTCCATCACTTACATGTGTCATATCAATTGTGAATTGAAAGACTTACTACGGTTCTAGGATGGAGTGTTTACATATATCAGACCACTACATAGATGACTGATATTTTGTATAGGGAGTACGGACTTTATGTATTTATTTTATGTGCCATGGTATGAGCCTGAGTCTCAGGACCATGGTTAGGGTGCGTATATCGCCTAGGATGGATAACTGGACATATGTGTTGTTCCCTGGTAGGTCTAGGTACTCATGCCCACCTTAGGGTGCGTATTTGCATGTTGCCTTTTATTCAGGCTGAGACAGACCTACTGGACTAGCGAGCATCCTATAGTGTGTACTATGTACATATATGGACTACTCTAGATATTGTTGAATCTTCCTAGGATGTATCTGCGTATCGGATTACTGTTTGGATTGTAGTAGATCAGGACTTGCATATGGGCCTGACCCACTCCTTTATTTTTCAGGTGTTCGTCAGTTCCAGGGTTAGAGCTTGGACGTGCAGAGCAGATACAGATATTTATTCCTCCGACTATATAGGAATCTTCTCTATATTAGCTTTAGACTTTATTTCAGTCATTTCATTTTTGAATTGAGAATATTAATAAGGGGTCCACTGGATGGATTCTCGAGTTGTAAACTTATGGAGTTTTGGATTAACAGATTTGAATAATTTTATTTCAAGGTTTATTAATTTAGTTTCTTCCAGCTATTTAATTTTATTTCTTATTTCACTTTGTATTCCGTGTTCGATTTAAAATACTTTAATTGTTTGATATCCCTCGGGTTTAGGCTCGGACCTGATCAACCCGCGTCTCGGATCCGAGGGGTATCACAAAGCAAGCCCAAGCTAAACTTCGAATTCATACTTCCTTCCCCTGAAAATCCAAATTGTATTGAGCCTCCTAAAGAAGTTGCAGAAGAAGGTCACAGTTTTTGGAATGCAAACCACCTCATTGGAATTTTCATCCATAAGAAAATCCCATTTAAAGTCATATAAGCTACGGCAACAAAAATTTGGATATCTCATGGCCTGATCCACACCATCTTAGGAGAGAAAAACTCCTACATTTTCAGATTCAACTCCAGCACGGAAGCAGATAATGTCCTTTCATTTGGCCCTTAGTCCATTACTGGACACCCATTCTCTCTGATGAAATGGAATCAACAATCCCAACTCAACTCAGCACAACAAAGTTTCATCCCCACATGGATCAAATTCCACAATGTCGCTATGCAATATTAGACTGCTAAAGGGCTAACTCTCATTGCCAGCTCAGTTGTAGAGCCCCTCTGTGCTGACCAAGCTACAAAGTCCATAACCAAGATCAAGTTTGTAAGAATTTGTGTTAAAATTGACCTATCCAAGCCACTACTCAAAGAGATTCAAATCCAGCTTGAAGACAACAGTTGGGAGTAAATTTCAATTGAATACCAACACCTTCCAAAGTTTTGCAACAAATGCAACCAAATGAACCACACTGAAGAGCATTGTCCTTTAAACATCCTTTATCCCACCACCCTCAAAGGTAAGAACAAAGTTATTGCTCCAGAATCTTGCCCCTCATCACCTAAAGACAACAGCCCAGCTATTAACCCTCAATCCACTGATTGGGTAACTGTGAGAAAGAAAAGGAAACCACATATACCTATACTGCATCTCTCACCCCCAGAACCCTTGTTGATCACCAATAACAACCAGTATTCAGCCTTATCAAACCTTCCACTTCTCACTTCTCCAAAACAAATCACTAGCAATGCATTCTCCACACCTTCTCATGAATCCACCACACCCTCCTCAGGCACAGTGGTGCACAATACTATATCACCCTCATCCAATTCCATGTCTCCTCACATACCCAATCACTCTCCCCTCTGCAGTAAGAGACTTAACTTCTCTCATACTAGCCCTTCACCTTTACCCACTGCTGCCTGCCCAGGAACATCACTCCCTCTACATTTCCTCTAATCTCTAAGCAAAGGAAGCTGAAACTATAGAATAGACATGCTGGAAATGGCCTCACCATTTCTTCCTCAGCCACTATACCAATTAACAAGATGCAACCTGCATTGGGAAGGAAGGAAAATCCAACTATCAGAAGCATGAAGAAAGCTGTTAAAAAGAAGTCTTTCAACAATAATGAGTTGATGTCTAAGAGCCTTTCACAGGGCCACAGGCATCCTGGAGATTCTGTCACCCCTCCTTCTTTATGTTAGCCCTCCTCACATGGAACATAAGAGGGTTAAATCAACCCTCTAAGCAGTCAGAGATCAAGATGCTTATCTCTGACAAGAAGCTTGACTTAGTCTCAATAGTGGAGACCAAGGTCTCCTCAGCTAAAATTGATTCCATCCACAAATTTATTAACCCAAAATGGTCCATAGACCACAATTAAAACTATTCTTACTTGGGGAGAATTTGGGTTATGTGGAACCCTGACATTTTCAATCTTTCAGTTATTGATGTGAATAGTCAAGCTATTCATTGTAGCATTAATATCATAGGACACAATATTAGCTTTTTTATTTCTTTCATTTATGCTCCTAACTGTGTTAATGAAATGAAGTACTTGTGGGACAATATCATCCATTTTGCTGGCATCTTCTCCCCCTTTCCTTGACTTCTTATGGGAGACTTCAATGTCATTCCAAATGTAGGGGAAACTCATGGTGGCTCACAGAGATGGTGTCCAGCTATGATTGACTTCAAAGAGTGTCTAAAAGAGGCTGAACTTGATGACTTAAAGTACAATGGCATTCTGTACTCCTGGTGTAACAGAAGTATTGGCTCAGCATGTGTTGCTAAAAAATTGGATAGAGCATTGGTCAACTGAAATTGGACTTCAGCTTTCCAACTCTCAGAATGCAGTTTCTTAACTCCTAGAATTTCTGATCACAGCCTCATCCAAGTTACAATGGAGCTTAATCTACCTAAAAGATGTACCCCTTTCAGATTCTTCAATACATGGAGCTCTCACCCCAAATTCATCCCAACTGTCCATGGAGTCTGGAGTTTATACATCAGAGGCACAGCCATGTATCAAGTGGTGCAGAAACTCAAACTTCTTAAACATTCCCTTAAGATTAACTGCAAAAAAAAGTTCTCTGACATTGATTCTAAGTTGTTTGCTGTCAAATTGGAGCTAAAATCATGCTAACTTGACCTTGACATCACCCCCAATGATTTAACTCTTAGAATAATGGAAAAAACATTAATCAATGAAGTTATGCTACTGACCAATTCACAAGAAGATATGTTAAGGCAGAAGTTTAGGATGTCATGGCTAAAGCTTGGTAATTGTAACTCCTCCTTCTTCCATAAGTTCTTCTCATCCAGGAACAACATAAATAAAATTGTCTCACTCACATTGGAGGATGGTCAAGTCATTAAGGATAGGGGCTCTATTATACAAACAGTGGTCTCTCATTTCCATAACCTTCTTAGAAGCTCACCCCAATCAACTCACCATACCTCAGAGCTGCAACACTTCTTCACCAAACAAGTTCCTGATCAACTTCACTCCTTATTGGATGAAATCCCATCCAACTTGGAAATTCAAAGCTGCATGTTCAAACTCAACAAGGATAAGGCCCCTGGACCTGATGGCTTCAATGCAGCCTTCTTTCACAAAGCTTGGCACATAGTGGGAAGGTTTGTCCTCTCTGTAATTTAAGAATTTTTCAGGAATGGGAAGTTGCTTGCTGAAGCCAATAACACATATATCTCTCTTGTCCCAAAATGTCAAAACCCTTCATCCATCCATGATTATAGACCAATCTCTTACTGTAATACAGTCTATAAATGCATAGCAAAGCTGTTGGCAACCAAATTGCAGTCTACCCTTCCACTCATAATTGATCACTCACAAGCAGCGTTCATCAAAGGTAGGAAAATTAAGGATCCAATCCTTTTGGCACATGAGCTTCTCAGGATTTATCACGGAGATTCTTTACCTGCTAGATGTGCAATCAAGATTGATTTGAGGAAAGCCTTTGACTTAGTAAAATGGGATTTTATCATCTTATGTCTTACACTTCTCAACTTCCCACACAAGTACATCTCTTTCATATAGGCATGCATATCCTCACCTTCATTCACCATTGCTATCAATGGTGAATTTCATGGTTACTTCAAAGGCAAGAGAGGGCTGAGATAAGGAGATCATATCTCTCCTTTTCTATTTGTAATTGTTATGAATGCATTGTCATCTATTATTAACAACTATGTGGAGAGAGCCAGTGCTTTCAACTATCATTGGAGATGTGGAGCTCACAAAATCACCCACTTATCCTATGCTGATGACCTTCTTCTCTTATGTTATAGGGATATCACTTCTGTCTCTGTCCTCAAGTGTGCTTTGGACCACTTTAGTACCATGTCTGGACTAGAAATAAATCTCTCAAAGCGCACAATCTTTTTCTCTGGCATTAATCATCACACTGAATCCTCCATATCAAACCTCCTTAACATTGGGGTTGGCTCATTTCCAGTTAAGTACTTGGGAGTTCCTTTGATCTCTACAAATCTCAAAGCATCCCACTGCAGCATGCTCATTGAGAAGATTACTCATAGAATCTCTCACTGGACTTCCAGATCCCTATCATATGCAGGGAGACTCCAACTTGTCAGAGCTATCCTTGTTTCCACACAAATATACTGGACTGGAATTTTTATCCTACCAAAAGCTGTCATTGATGAGCTCAACAGAATTTTTAGAGTGTTCCTATGGTCTGGGCCAGAAATGAAAGCTAGTGGAGCCAAGGTGGGATGGAACAAGGTTAACAGACCTAAGTAATTGGGTGGGCTAAGCATCCCAAACCTAGAGCTAGCCAACCAAGCAGGCATGTTGAGACATTTGTGGGAGCTACACTCTGATGACACTGACAGATTGTGGATTAGATGGTGCAAAACTCATCTAATTAGATCCAGGAACTTTTGGACCGTCAAAATTCCATCTCCATGTTCATGGAGCTAGAGGAAAATTTTGCAACTTAGACATCATGCAAGAATGCTAATCAAACACGGGATTGGCAATGGCAGTGACACTTACTTGTAGTAGGATAATTGGGCACCTAGAGGCCCTTTGTGCACTAGATTCCCAATCTCTCTACTATCTGCTGCTGGACTCAATGAGGATATTACAATTGACAGGTTCATCACTAACTCAACTTGGACATTTCCATCATCACTGCTAGCTGCCATCCTAGAGCTTCACTCCCTACATCAACCATGTCCTTCAAGGTTTGATACAAAAATATGGATTGCATCCTCCTCAGGTCAATTCAGCTTGAAACATACATCACTGTTCTTGGCAGGCCATGGTGAACAAGTGCCTTGGTTTAACCTAGTATGGCTATCCCCCACAATTCCCCGTATGAAATTCAACATGTGGTTAGCAGCTCAATGCAGACTTCCCACTCTTGACAGTAAATCAATGGCAAAGCATCTTAACTTGTGTACTCTGTGCCTCAACAATCCTGAGTCACGCGACCACCTGTTCATCAATTGCTCTTTCATTTCTCCTATGTGGAGGTTCATCAAGTTGAAATGCAAGGTTAACACCTCTATCACAGATTGGAAAGCCCTAATTTCTTGGATCAGCAAAAAATGGAAGTTGAAGACTCTTATTAATCTTCTTCGCAAGGTTTGTTTCTCAGCTATAGTCTACCATACTTAGGAAGAACGTAATGAAAGGATTTTCAAAAACAAGATCGCTTCTGAGAGGATCGTGTTTAGGAAGATTTGCTCCACAGTAACTTCAATTCTGAAATTGGGTTTCCTCCAAGATTGCTCTGCTTCTAGGAGAATCCTTCAAGACTGGAATTTGTCCCCCTCTTGTTGTCGTCCCCCTCCAAGGCCCTCGGACTAAGTCTCGCCGGCAGCAATACTGCCTGCTAGGTGTTCACCGAAATTGTGCTCTTACACCCTTCATTAACGGTTCTTCAAATCCGTTAATGTCGGTTGTTTGTTTTGGTCGGGCTTCTCTCTTGTAGGCCCCTTTTGGGCTTGTTTGTTCAGTCCAATGGACTGATTTGGCCTAATGGCCCTACTTGTAATTACTACCATTTTCCATTTTAATATATTTCAGTAGCTTTAAAATGCAAAAGAAAATAATCTGCATGAAGAAACTTCACCGGGGCTACTCACATGATGTTTGTGGCCCCACCGTGGTTGGTAGGCCTAAAGTAATTGAATAGAAAAAAGCTACTGGTACAAGTCAATGCGCAAGTCATCTAATAAAATACACAACATGGTTGACTCAGGCTTCTCATACTCCAATTTTGCCTTGTTGCATGATTGAATCATTGAACCACTTCCAATACAGTAGACGATGGCTAGCTAATCCGGAGGGCGAGGAGGAGGACGACAGCGAGAAGGAGAGAGATTCCACTCCTTTAGGATAGATTGAGTTGCAGAGCAATCTGATCTTGGCAGCGAAGACTTCTCTCCTCTGTAGATTCTCTCCTCTGCTTTTTCTCCTCTTGTTTTTATTTTATACTCCTCTCTCTCTCTATATATGTATATGTACTCTTTTCACCTATTGGATTCCGATACCATAAAATAGAATATAAATTTAGAATTATTCTTTATAGCCAAACAAGAAATTAATACCTAAAAATTAGGTTCAAAGAAAATTCCTCAATTGCATATATACAAATTCCGACTTTATAACTAGTATTATTCTTTTTTTTTTAACCAATACAAATTCTGACATATATAATTAAGCAGGCTTGACATACGTCGAATTCAGCATGAGTTCACATCAAAAATTCATAATCACCTGCATCTCCGCTTCTAATCTTCGAGTCAAGGGCGTTTCAGAGTCGGAACCGAATATGCACGCTTACGCAAAAGGTTTTTTTAGTATTTACCATCAAAATCTGTATATGTGGTACTATTCCAATACCATGTATAATTATTTATATTCTCTCTCCAAACATAACATGCAGTTTCAGTAGGGAAACAAAAGAAGAAAACAACAACTGACAAGGAGGATGGAACAGGCCCGGCCTGGGACAGACACATGAGTTTCACCATTAAAAAACGGGAGGTGGATCCAGGAGTGACGCCGGTTTTCATCAAGTTATACTCCAAGCGTTGCTGCGGAAGGGACAAGTACATCGGTAAGGCCGAGACATCCTTGCATCAACTATTCAATAGGGAGGAGGAGAAGAGCCACGGCAGGGACAGGTATGAATTAACCTTGAGAAAGAATAGTTCCGACACGGGAATGCTACATTTATCATGCACGTTTGAGGAAATCACGCCTGTCTGCGGATGTTGCTGCGGATGTTGCTGCGGATGTTGCAGTTGCGGATGTTGCAGTTGCTGTTGCGACTGTTTGATGGAAATAGTGAAGAGTGCGTTGTGCCATGCAGCAGAAACGATTTTCTGCAACTGTTAGGGATGCGACAACTGAAAAGGGATATGAAAACTAAACTGAACACTAATCTAATTCATTCGATTTTACCCAATGCTCTAGGTATGTGTGTAAAACAATTTGATTGTGGTTAATTGTCTGTGAAATTATGGTACTATACGAATTATTATATATCTTAAACTGTTAAGAGGTATTGATGATGGTACTATATGAAATTATGGAACTTTTTCCACAAGGCTGCTTTTAAATTTTGTTGTTGGATTGTGTCATGAGTGTGAGTGAGAGAGGGAATTAATTTTGATGAAGATTCACTACAATAATATTTGTGTTTTGTTAAAAAATATTAGGTAGGAATTTATTTTTGTACCAAAAAGTAACTTATTTAAGAGGAAATACATATGTGTAGTAAATATATAAAAAAAATTTGCTTCAAAGTTATTTTTGTCTTACGAAATTATGCTTTTCATACAAAATTTAAGCTTGTAAGGGGATTCTTTCCCCCTAGTCAGAAAGTGTTGTTATGAGAAAAATTAATCTAAAGACAAAGACAAGCGCGCGCAGTTGTAGTTCGAAACTAGATGAAAATATGGAAGTGGAACTCATAGATCAAAGAGGGCTTACCTGAAGAAGTTTCTTGAAGCAATTGAGAAGACACGAGATGATGAAGTAAGGGTTAGGTTTTCAAACGAAAATTGCAGAGCTAGAGATACAGCAAGAGTAATAATCGCCCATATATTTCAGAGACTGGAGGGCGCGAGAGAAAAAGTTAAATGTTTTTTTTGGGAAAAGGCTGCTAAACCACAAAATATTGCTCCTAAATACACTATTAAAAGCCCCTAAATTGTGATATAGCGGCTAAAATTGTTGCACTTGCCGCAAATAAAATGCCACTAAAGTCCCATTTTGTTGTACTGGGGTAACCAGAAAACTAATATATTAACTTGGGATAATTGAAACATGTTTTAATCTTTTGTTTTTCATATAGTATTTACTGTCAACGTCTTACTTATATGATAAAAAACTGAATATGTTCAAAATTAAATTGCCATTTTTTGTTGTAAACTTTAATAATTCGTGTTAAGCCATTAATTACAAATTTACATGAATTCCATATTTTAGAATTTCATGATTTTCACATATCTATAATGCATAAATAAATATAATTAGATATAAATACCTAAATCTATGATTGCAAATATTGTAGAGATCAAGTCCAACGTCGAGATCCTTTCTGCCACAAACTAAACTGTCACTCTGATCAATAGGCAAAGCGTGGAAACTGGTTTCTCTCTCTTGGCCTTATGCACACATAAATTTTTTACGTATTGTATCATTAATTGTACATAATTGATGGAGTATATGCACTTTTATAAAGGCAGAGAGAGGAACAAGAAACATAATTAATGTTTTCCTTTTAGTAACCTAATTCCACTTTCCATTAAAGTAAGGTACAAGAAAGGAAAATACTTCTCCAATAAGTAATTACCAAAAAGGTAATTTATAAGTTGACCAAATAATATAATATTAATCTGATATTTATTTTATTTAACCACCAAACAATATGTCACATGTTCGAATTATGTGGGTCACAATTAAATAAATAATCTTACATTCTCCCACTTGGCACATATGATAACTTCTGTAGTAATTTAGTAAAATAGTCATTAGTGTGTACCATAAATCAGATTAACTCATTAAGTTGATCATCATAAATACCATGGTAAATAAACTATCAATGTGAGTAATGGCGGTTATAAGTCCCTAAATGACACAATCCCTTCCATGTACTACAACACTAGTAACCTATTCAACATAGTATATAAATAAGAAATATCATTAATGATCTAATAATAATGTCTTTTCCAAAACTATTCATATTACCATTTATTAAAGCACATTACAACAAAAGTCGCTTTTAGCAACGGTTTTTTTTTTTTTTTTTGTCACAAAAAGCTAACTTTTCGTTGCTAAAAGTTTTTAGTGACGAAAAATCATTCGTCAATATTTTGTTGCTATATAATCGTCTTGGTTGATCGATAGTGACGAATGCGAATTTCGTCACTATTGCATTTGCTTTTAGTGACAAAAAAATTTGTGTCGCTATTACATAACTTTTAGTGACCATACTTTTCATCACATCTACTTGCCTTTTGGTGACGAAAATGTGACAAACTTTTTCATCACTATTGCACGACTTTTAGCAACCATTTTTTTCGTCACATCTGTTTGCCTTTTATTGACTAAAACATTTGTCACATTTTCGTCACTATTGCATGACTTTTAGGGACGATACTTTTCGTCACATCTGTTTGCCATTTAGTGACTAAAATGTTTGTTACATTTTAGTGGGCATTAGCAACGAAAGTTTTCGTCACCAACTTACCCAATGACAAGTTTCTTTTGTTACTAAAAACCAATTTTTGCATGCTTTCTAAACTTCTTATCATTTTTGCTAAAATAAAAAAAAAAAATTCAAATAGCAATACAGGTTCACACATTTCAAACTCTACATTGCAACACAAATTTAAACATAATATTAAATTTTATTATGAAATACATAATAATTCTGAGTTCAAATACAAAATTAACATAAATTTGAATAAATTTCTACATTTGTTCAATTCTAAGTCAAAATATAAACTAAATTTTCAATTGTCTAATACAAATTAAAGACCAAACTAAAACATAAAAGCAAACTCCCAACTCTCCCTCTATGGCAGCACCTCAAAGTTCGTATGGAATCTCATCACTTTAGTTCGTCGTTGTCATGAGTACTTCGTTTTCTTCATGTCGTCCCAGTTAATCACTCTACAATCGAAAAAGATAAAGGTCATTAGAATATTGTGTACAATTTGTAAGATTACATAAACCTTTTTTTTTTTTTTTTTCTTCTACTTATATGCAATTGAATGGATGAAGAGATCGAAAATGTAGCATTCCATAAACTGACTATAAGAGAAACGTGCTCAAATTTCATTTATCTTTATATACGATAATTAAAGTAATACGTCAATAGGTTTGTTGGTATATTACTCAACTTTTATACAAAAATAATAATACAATACGTAATATCATACTCTCCAAGACTGCCACATGCATTTATAAAAAATTATCACATCTAATGAAAATCAACAAATTTAAAACTTACCAACTTCAACATTAATTCCTGGTCCAAAGAATGAAACAATTTTTTCCTAAGAAACAATTGAAAGTGTAAATATCAGTACACCCTTAAAGAGAACTTTAAACATAAACTATAATTTTAAAAATAAAAAATAAAAACCCTTGATTAATGAAGCAATTATGCCTTATGCATTTTTACAATATTATATCAACTCAATTACCATAATGTTGTGTATAAGAAAATGCTATAGGTTATATTATAAGTGAACCCCTAGTACCAACAAAAACAAGGTTGGCAATTCTTACCCCCATAGAACACTCTAACAAATTAAGAAGAAACTCTCTTAACAAGACAAACTACCTGCAAAATAAATTGTATCCCTGGTAAAAAAATATTGATAAAAAAATAATTATAAAAATTGAATTGATTATAAGATAGCTAACTTACCATAAATTATCCTTCCAAAAACTGTATCCAATGTGAAACAAGAGAGTTTTCAAAAATTTTGAGAGAAAGAGGGGCACAAGGAATATTGATGCATCATCCCAAAAATATTAAGTTCGATATTAAAATACAAGAAACTGCAAGAAAGTATTCAAAGTTCTAAAATATTTGTCTTAATTAATTTTAAAAATATGTCCTAAAACTCTAACTATATTAATTTTGGGGTCCAGTGGAAGGCTGCCCAATATTTGCAATAAAAGCAAGCATTGCCTCATTCACTTTTTCTTGAATTTGTTGTTGCATTTCTTCCTTCATCTCTTGCACCTCTTGTCTCATCTCTTCCATATTATTTTCTGCTTTGTCGGCCCTGGCATTAGCTGCATCGACATCTTTTTTAGTAGCTTGGATTGACAAAGTTGGCATATCCCTATTAGGCCCTAGCACTTCAAGCATTATTTCTTCTTCTTTCTCATGGGTTATTACTTCTTCAATTTCAATTGTAACTTTTTTCATTTCTAGCATTCTAGCCTACATGTTCAGAAGTAGAGTTATCATCCTAAATGTGCACCATCCTTTAATTTAAATAAAAATTAAAACATTAACAATGAAGACATTCTTACATAATTCTTCTCAGCCTCTTCATCAATAGATTCCCCATTTTCCTTTATATATGATTTTGCATAGAATTCAATCACACTTCCATCTTCCCCACTTTCATTATTAAGCTGTGATATATAAGCAAGTAAAATGAACAAACTGGGCTATAAAACCTTAACAAACAGCTCAATAAGGAACAAAAACCAGCGATAACTCAAACAAAATTACAAACATATTCATATCTACATACATATAATTTTCATTACTAAACATTATATACATATACACAATATATATATATATATATATATATATATATATGTTGGATTTTAGAACATATACATATATAACTTATTATATTGATCAAATTAATCATCTAAAAAACTCATTAAAGTTGAAACTAAAACAGTTTTGAATAACTTCACACATTTCAGTTTAGTTGATGTATAAAACATATTATTTTAAACAGAGACACCAAAATATAAGGGCGTTGAATATTTCAACTATACAAGTATAACTAATTTGAAAAATTAATGCATAAAGAAGTAAAAAAGTACTAAAATGTGATTTGAATAGTCCCATTTGTCATTACCATCTCATCTAGGTACTAAACATACGCTTTTGAGCCACCGTAATTCTTAGTCTTCACCTTGTCCCTATTCTTTTTGTTTGTCTCACTGCGATTCTGCATGATAATTAATCAAAAAACAAGTATATCAACATATTTGTGTGTGTAATTCAAACTCAATCCATAATGACAATGTTGCAAGTATATTATTTCATTACCACACACTTCTCAGAACTGTATCTATCGCACAATAGATTCCAATGCTCGTTGGGAACACCTACAAATGGGTTACACCAGGCAAGCTTAGCATTTTTAAAGCCATCATAGTAATTCTTTATTTTGTATCTGCGGGCCTTCAAGCACTTGCTGAACTGATGATCGAATGCCCGTTTATGATGGTGTTCACCAACATTAGATCTAAATTTTTTCTAAAGGAATGAAAACAATAAATTTAGTTATCCAAACAGATAAGAAAAAGTATTATCTATTAGTTGGACTTTGCTAATTTGTAAAGGAGAAAACATATCAAATTAAACATTGTCAATTAATTACTAATTCTTGAAATTAGCAAAAGAGATTGGAATGAAAGTATTACCTTAAATCTATAATACACAGCATCCTTATTTTCAAGTGGTATCTTATCATATCTGGGGTAAATAGCTGGAAAACATCTTGCTTCTACTCCAATTTCAGCCTTCCAAAGTTTTGCGTTCTTGCCTACAGGCTACAAATGTCCTTCTTTAAACGTAACTTCTAATGGCTGCCTCTTATTTTTATCCAACACATCCTCCAATGCAATGTTTGTTGAGGGTCCACACTTTTTAACGGAAGTGGCAGAACCTGCAAATAAATCCACTTTAATATTAGTGATACTCTAAACAATAATATATTATAGTTGCAATAATAAACTATTCTATTAACAAACTTACACTGACCATCATCCGGAATAGATTGCAACTCATCATTGTTGAAATCATTAGTATTAGCCATTACCCTCTTACGACTAGTAGGAGCCATGTATACACTGGAACAAAATTTAACAATATAGAAATGGTAGAACTAAACTACCTCTCTTAAAGAACATCACTTCCTTTTAAATGCAATAGTAATACACTTTGGTAAAGGAAATTTATGAAAATGCCAATTCTATATAGCTAAACATATTATTAATGCCATTTGTAAATGAAATCAAACAGATTATAAGCAAAAAAAACAAGTCATATTTGGAATGTAAGCATTTCAAAATAACACATAACTACAAATGAGCACATCTTAACATAAAAATTCTTAATATATTAACAAAGTAAGATATTTAACTTTTAAACAACAAACTATTCTATATCGGTATCATCATCACTAGACACAATATTTTCTTCATCTAAGGAATCATCATTGGATGCATCTTCTTCATCAAAAGTTTCATAATCAAGGACAACGTTCTCTACATCATCATTGCCATATGCATTATTTATGATATTTTGAACTGCATCGGAATCAATTTCATTTGAAACCATATCATCATTAGTTAATGTCAACGAGTCAAAATCTACATCTCGAACAACACCATTAACTTCTAGTGACTCAAAATCTTGGTATGCAACCTCCTTCACTACTTTCCCCTTCATTTGACCCATTTATTTTATCATCTTTTTCTGGGATATCGTATAAGTTCCTAGGATCAATCTGCTACACAACTTCCCATTCACCCCTTAATTTGTTATCCTTGAGGTATAAAACCTGTTTTACTTGATGAGCTAACACGAACGGCTCATCCTTATAGGCTTGACGGGAGAGATTGACACTAGTGAAATATTTATCTTTTTGAATTCCACTTCTTGTATTGCACCAATCACACCTGAATAAAACTGCACGTCTTTCTATATCATAAGACACCTCAATGATGTCTGTCAAACAACCATAAAAATCAATATTTTCACTTTTGACCATCACGCCATTATTTTGTGTTTTCCTATTCTTCTACCTCTCCTTAGTATGGAACCTTGTCCCATTCACAACACAACCTGTATATCATTTCACTCTCGAGTCAAGCCCACAAGCTAGAGAATAAAGATCATCAGTAGCATCAGGCGACATACTTTGTCGCAATCTTTTAACCTATACACAAATGAAATAGTTTACATAACATATATGAGAATTGATATAAAAAAATATTATTATACAATTAATATGCAATAAATTTTATAAAAAAACTTATATACTCTTCAAACCATTTAGTAAATTGTTTTGAATGCCTCACATCTACGTTGTTATGATCTTGTCTCTTTAGTTCCTCCATGTGTTTTCTACATAAGAATGTCAATGTTTTAAATAATAATAATAATTAAATTTAAATAACATAATTTATCCAATTCACTTACCCTAAGAATGGCTCCACTTCTGGACAATTGTTAAGCATATAAAAATGTGCCTTTTCGAGATTTGCAGAATCCATTATTTCATAATTTTCGTACCCTAAGGGGCGAACATTCTGCGTGAATATAGAAAAACTTTTTGACTTCTGGGTTTGCCCTCTGTCAAAATTCCTTTCCTCTCGATTGAAAGGTGTCTCTATGCCTCGAAGGTACAATGAATAAAATGCAACACACTCATTATCAACATAAGCTTCGGCAATTGAACCTTCAGGTCATGCTTTGTTGCGAACATATTGTTTCGAATTTCGTAGAAATCTGAATATGTTTTCATATTGACAAAATTATAAAAGGAATTAACATAAGAATAAAAATTATGGAGATATGAATTAACGAACAAATAAGACACACCTTTCAATGGGGTACATCTATCGATATTATGTTGGTCCAGCAATAATCGCCTTACGGGGTAAATGAACAGCTAGATGAACCATCACATCAAAAAATAAAGGTGGGAAGATCATCTCAAGCTTGCAAAGTATGGATACAATATCCCTTTCAAGTGCCTCTAAAACTTCTAGTTTCAACGTCTTACAACACAACTCTTTGTAAAATAATCCAAGTTCAACCAATGCATTACATACATTATCAGACATGTATCCACGAATAGCAACTGGAAGAAGACGCTGGAGAAGTACGTGACAATCATAACTTTTCAAACCTAATATAGTACAATTATTTTTATTAACACACTAAGATATATTGGAACCATACCCATCTGGCAACTTTACTGCCTTCAACCATTCACATATGCTCTTTTTCTTATCAGTAAATAATGTATAACATGCTGGTGGCATAAGAAACTTATTGCCACTAGGAGTAAGATGCAACTCTTTTCTAATGCTCATTAATTGCAAATCCAAATGAGATTTCATGGTGTCTTTTGTCTTTCCTTCCATGTTCATTAATGTCCCTAATATATTATCACATATATTTTTTTCTATATGCATAACATCCAGATTATGTCTCAGCTTGAGCCCTTGCCAATATGGCAATTAAAAAAATATGCTTTTCTTAGTCCAATTTAACTCGGATTTGGTACGCTTCCTCTTTTTGTTGGTCGGTCCTTTTCCCAAGTCAACGAACCTGATTTGAAGCAACTGTTGAATTAACTCATCACCAGTTAATTCTTTAGGTGGTGACCTCCTTTCTTTGTTACCATCAAACTGTTTGTATAAATTTCGCCATTTATGGTCCGTTGGCAGCCAATGACAATGGCAAAACCAACATATCTTTTTCCCATGCTTTAAACGTATTGAAGATGCATCAAAGTTACAAACGGGACATGCCATATACCCCTTTGTGACTCAACCAGACAAATCTCCATGTGCTGGAAAATCATTTATCGTCCATAATAACGCCACATGCAATCTAAAAGTACACATAGTAGATGCATCATAAGTCATTACATCATCCACCCATAACTCTTTTAACTCATCAATCAACGGTCTCAAGTACACATCAATTTCCTTCGCTGGTGATCTCGTTCCGGGAATAAGTAATGACATAAACAAATATGGTTCTTTCATGCATTTCCAAGGTGGCAAGTTGTATGGAAAAACCATTACTGGCCACATGCTATATGAATTACTCATGTTGCGAAATGGATTGAATCCGTCACTTGCTAGACCAAATCTAACATTACGAGGTTCCGCTGAAAACCAAGGATGTCTTATATCAAATTCCTCCCAAGTCGTAGAATCTGCTGGATGTCTGAATATATTAGTCTCCTTAACACGTTTCTCTTTATGCCACCTCATATCTGAAGATATTTTTCTTGACATAAACAACCTCTGAAGCCTACTCTTCAAAAGAAAGTACCTAAGAATCTTTTGGGGTATTTTTTTACCCTTGCCTTCATGAGATTTGTATCTAGACTTGCCACACCGAGGGCAGAACTCATTATTTTCGTTTTCTTTCAAAAACAAAATACAATCATTTATGCAAGCATGTATCACTTCATACCCAAAATCTAATTCCTGTAATATGTTCTTTGCCTCATAATGTGACTTTGGAAGCTCAACACCTTTGGGCATTGCTTTATTAAGCAATTTTAGCATCATAGTGGAATATTTGTTGCTCAATTTATTAGTTACTTTCATATTGTATAACTTTAGAACAAACGATAATTTTGAAAAAAATTCACATCCCAGATACAACTCACGTTGTGCATCCTATAGTAAATCTTGAAACCTGTCATGTCCCATGTTAGAATTTGGCAAAGCATCATCCAACCCTTGCTGAACATCTGTCATTTTTGTTTGCACAAAAGGTCCCGTGCAAATGTCCTCCAACAACTCATTTACCTCATCACCATCTTCCTCTTCTCCAACCTCTTCCTCTGAACTATTATTATTTCCCATATCATACCCCTCTCCATGCCATTCTCAGCGAGTATACTTTTTGTCCATCCCATTTTGACACAAGTGTCCTTTAACCTTAGGTAATGTTCTATATGGTATGTTTTTGCATTTAGAACATGGGCACCTAGTCCTATTCTTGTCATCCACATAGGCCTTAGCCACCTCAATAAAATCTTTAATCCCTTTTGCGTAGCGTAGATCAATCCTAGGAAGTTGGATCTAACTCTTGTCCATCTACATTTGTGAACATCATCAACAACATCGTGAATTAAACTAAACAAATTAGGAATGTTATTTTTATTATATATGTACACTTTTAATTAATTATATAAATGTTTTTACTGAATTTTCTTATAATTCTCACCCATTTTACTAAGTCACGGTTTAAAAAGACTCATGCACTCATGCTGGACCCCACAATACGTAAAAATAAATTAAAATCATTAAGCATTTCACTTTTTGTTGAGAGAGAAGAAAATATAATGAAAGAAAGAGGAGATTCCTATTTCCATTTGTGAGACCAAGATGAAAGAGATGAGGTTTTTTTAGCAACTAGCGACAATAAAATAACAGGTGTGTGAATTAAGTCAATTAATTTATTTTTATTCAAATAATTTGTTTTTCTATTGTCCTTAATTATTAATTGATTAGCTAGGTACTAATGGAGAGTTTAATAAGTGTTTCGATTATTTTTGCAATTTTATGAAACTTCTAGTAAATAAAAATAATAAAACTTATTAATAAAAAGATTAATAGATGCATATTTAGGGGGGTGTATTTTGGAGTGGGTTGTCTGTATTAGTTCAATGTATGAAGCTGCTGATGTGCAGGCTCTTCTTCTCTTGAAGGGTCTTGAGAACACGGGGGTGTATTTTGGAGTAGGCTGTATGTGTACTTTGGATTTTGTGTTTTTATCCCTGCTGCTTCTATTCAGTTGGGGTACGTTATCTGCTGGTAGATTAGTAGTCGAAGATGGAATTCTAAGGGTACAAAACTGTGCCACATCCGTTTATTTATTTTCATTTTTATAGCTTATTTTGATCCTTTTTTAAGCACTTTTATTTTGTATATTAATCCGACTGTTTAATTCAATAGCCGGTCTGGCCTCACAGTGGGCATTATCTTCCAACATAAGAGAATTTTAAAGAATTCATGTTTATTCCTAAAGGAGCACAATGTCGATTATAATCAGAAAAGCCCAACTGATGAGGAAAAAGAAGTCCACAGCAAAGAGACAATCAGTTTTGTCTCGCAAAACAACTTATCAGAACTAGATTTCAATAGAGTGACTGAAGAAAGCCATCACAGAAGCTCCTTTCAAGAGGAAACTGATTCAAGCATACAAGTACATGATGACATAGAAAAACCACACATTCCCTTTTCAAATTACAATGATGGTTGAAAAGCATTTTTTTATCAAGATTCTTTTAGGTAAATGTTAATACAAATGACCCAAAATTAATATAAGTAAACAAGTTTAATTTACATAAAACTTTTTTTAATCTCATTTTAGGACAGGGAAAGGCCACCAACAAGGTTATTATAGCCCTAATTAGAGCTTATCTATCATTGCAAAAATTATTTTGGCCCTTCTATGTGTTTTAAAATTATTTTAGATGACTGTGAAAGCATCTAAAAAGCCGTCTCTAAAGTTAATTCTTACTTATTCTGCAAGTTCTGCAGTTACAGAATATGTTCAAAGATGTTTGTCTCTCCTCATCAGAAGTTCAATGGTTGAAGCTGCTACATGTGCAGGCTCTTCCTTTCATGAAGGGGTTTTAAGAGCACAGTGGTTTGTTTTTAGCCCTGCTGCTGAATACAAACTATTCAATTAAAAGTAGTTCAAGTAATGGTAAAAAAAAATGTTAATATTAATTTAGAGCCAATGAAACCAAAGCAGCCCGGTAGCAGTCAAAGGAACGGAAAGGAGAAGACCTCAATTCAGAGACAAATACACTTGATAACAATAAGTTAATAAGAAGAGAGAGAGCGAGATGACAAAATGGGAGTAGAAAAAATATATAATTATTTTTTAAAAAATGAGAGAGAGCAGAGAGAACTTAAAAACAAATGACAAGAGGTAGGTAGGAGAAGAGAAAATGTAATTAATTATTTTAACGGAGAGAGGGAAGGGAGAACAATATATACAAACATGGCCCAAGGCCAAACCCAGAAGATTGGAATCTATAGCATGTGACGTACCTTGTTTGTATATATTGTTCTTCTATAACAGCAATGACGTTAAGTTTTGATAGTATTTTGTTGGTGGACTCTAGGAAATCACCTATTGGTGATTTATGGGGCTGAACCCACCTTTACAAGTCCAGGATTCTCCTTGAGATTTTTGTTGGTTGATCTTAGGCACCATATATTCTAGCAGAAATATTCTCCACTTTTTTTAATTTTTTTTTATTTTTAAGAATCCATAAAAGAAGTATCCTTAAATTTTAATGGGATTGTGGTTTTCGATTGTAGATGGATAATAATTACTACAATAGCAGATAACTAAAAACCATAGTATGGGTTATTTAGTATTGAAAAAGGTATGATAAATTGAAACTTATATCTAAGGGGCAATTTAATAGATTCAAAGCTACAGTTTCCCTATTGATCGGACAAACTGTAGGTGGGAATAGCTAAAAGTTTTTCTTTTAAGGAATTAAAAATTAAATTTCAAGTGGATGCAACCATTCAAAAATGGGTGATGAAATTTTTGAAGAGGTAATGCTGCCGAATGGTGTTAGAAATGGTTGTCCGGAAATAGCAGTTTTGGGGAAATCACTTTATCTTTTCATATTTTATCATCTGAATAAGTGTTGTGACATATGGACAATGGAGTGTGGCAAAACGAGTTGTTGGACAAAACGATTTACTGGTAATTTTCATGACACACCTGCCAAGCTGCTAGGCTTAAGAAAGAGGGGTGAACTGTTGCTACAAAACCATGAGGGCCATCTGATGTCTTGTAATATTGAGACCCAAACAAGTAAAGATCTAGGAATCCGTATATGCTTAAATGATATAGCTTCTTATGCGGAGAGCTTCACAGGCCTTTTATGTTCCACCATTTAGTGCGGTGATCGGAATGATTTTGAAGTCCGAAAAGATTATTATAGATGAGAGCGTGAAACGCACAGTATAATTTGATTATTGGACTCTCTATCAACACTTTCATGATAGATACAGCTGATAATTTCAAAACCATTGATTCAATATAGTGGAATTCATGTGAGTCTCACTTTAAATTATTTAATAAGGTGGTTTAAAGAATAAATCCAGTTAATTCATTAAACTCATATAATCATAACATGCAAGTGGATGCGAGTTGAAGAATCTCTGGAATCTATAACAGGCGACATACCTTGTTTGTATATCGATGTTAAAAAAGAATCACTGCAAGGCAAAAGTTAGGAATATCTTCTCAATACCCATATGCATAACAGATCATTAAACTCATATAATCATAACATGTATATATGTATTTTCATCTACAGGACTGAATGACAAGAGATTTTTCAAAACCAAATCAAAAGCCTAAATTGTAAAACTAAATTATTTAAAAAGTATCAGAATTGAGAAGAACAAAGAACAAATTGTGAAGTGATTAAGAAATATAATTCAAGAATTGAAACTTACAGAGATTTAAGGGCTTTAATCTATTGTTAATGGAGAAAATAGCAGGCTGCGGCTTTGGAAATTGGAAACGTTGAAGCATAAGATACTGTTGGGATATCTCTTGCAGACACTCGCACAACGCTTTGAGATAATCCTGATCGTTGGATTCTACGGATATATTTGTTAAAGGATAGCACATAAAACAAAGATAAATCTAGGGTTTTTGAGAAAAAAAGAGGCGCGCGAATATATTTGGTCGTGAATTTTTTTTGTTTTTGATTAGGGATCGGATACTGGATTTGATTAAGAGATCAGGGAAACTGAGAAAACTGAGGAGAGATTGGGGGAAGAAATAATATGCGCGCACAGGACCTGTTTTCCTTTTTGGGTTATTTTACTAATAAAATAGCACCGTGTAAAATAATATTTTTAGGAAAAAATATTGTCGTATTGCAAAACTCTCAAAATGACGAAAACATTCGTGGGTAGAACAAAATAGTTACCAAATTTAGATCCCTCCAAAGAACATGAAAGAGTGCCAACTTCTCGCCAAACGATTATCGACAAATTTTGTTGTTAGTTGTTAAAAACATAAACTAATGGTGGTAAAAAAATATTTGGTTACTAAAAGACTACTTTTGCTGACCAAATATATTTGGTCAATAGAACTTCATCACAAAAGCTCCATTTTGTTGTAGTGGTAATACGTACATGTACATTAATTAATAGGAAATATCAAAAACACATTTAATCAGCGTAAAATGTCAAATATATATAAGCACTGTTAAACAATTCACAATTAAAAAATAATCATCATTGACTACATTCAAGACCCATTCTTTTAACATGTTTCATAAATGTCTTGGGTCTAATCCATTCGTTAATAGATTGCAATTATAAGTTGTGTGCTTATATATTCAATAGATATTCGTTGTTTCTAAACATATTTTTTAATGATAAAGTATTTCAACTTTAGAATACCTATCATTTTTTATACAAGAAGATCAATAATTGCAGCATAAATTTTCAACAATCTGAAAATGGTACCTATAACTCCAAATCCTGAAATAAATTCTCCAATCATAAATTGTAGCCTCAAAGCATGTAATAAAAAATTACTTTGTACCTTTTCATAACATTGTTCTTCCAGCCAAAAGAAACAAATAACCAATTAAAAAATTTCTTCCTAAGTATGAGTATATAATCTTTTATCACATACTAACTTGTATATATATCAAACTTCACAATATATGCATAAGGAATATTTTTCATTTCTTTACCTTCTAGCTAACTCATTCTCTGGGATTGTATTAAGCTGAATTTATCCTTATTTATGTATGGAACAATACTGGTTAAATAATGTTACATACCAAATCTTTCTAGAACTCTTTTAATATATGCTTTCTGAGACAATCATAAAAAATGCACATAATTTATCATGAAATATTTCTATTCCTATCACATAGAATGCCTCATCCATATCTTTCATTTTAAAGTTCTTAGAGATTACTTTTAGTTTCGTATAATAAATTAAGATTACTACTAACAAATAAAATATCATCAATATATAGAATCAGAAATATAAACTTGCTCCCACTAACTTTCTAGTATATACATTGATCAACAGTGTTTTTTATAAAACCAAAAGAAATAATGGTATCATTGAACTTAATATACCATTGTTAGGAAGCTTGCTTAAATCTATATATTGACATATCAAGTTTACAGACCATGAATTATTTATCCTTTAATGCAAAACCTTCAGGTTGTTCCATATGGACTTCCTTTTATAAACTCTCATTTATAAAAGTTGTATTCACATCCATTTGATGTAACTCTAAATCATAATAAGTTATTAATGCTATGATATTTTAAAAGATTCATTCTTAGATACTGGAGAGAAGGTTTCTTTATAATCTCTTCATTCATGACACTAATCCATTTAGTCAAATCATTACTGTTAATGGCTTGTGAATATGTAACCGGATTTGTATGTATCTCACTATATATCAAAATCAGATTCTTGCAGATGTATCACATAGTCATCCGGAATAGCAGATTTCCTTTCTCTTTGAGATCGTTTTAATGTTATTCCTTATGATTCTTCTATAATCTATTTATTGGTGACAATTTTATTATGGAGTTGTTAATCATTCAATTATTTTTCGTTATTATATGGTTCAACAACTGAAGGAACAATTATTTCCTTATAAGTTATGAGTAAAGAGATTTGTACCCTAACTTTTAGAATGATCAAATTCTTATTTTTATCACTCCCACTGATTTCACCATTCTCAATAAATCTAACATTTTCGGTTTTAATAATTACGGTACTAAGTTTATGATAGTAAAACTTGTATCATTTAGATTACTTAACATCCACAACATTATGAGTAACAAGGAATTACTTAATATACTCCTAACCATATACATAAGAGTACGATTACACCTTTCAGCTACATGTTTCTGCTGTGGCATGCCTGACATAGTATATTGAGCACAAATATCATGCATTTCAAGGAATCCCGTTTCATAATACTTTCCATAATATTCATCACCTCTATATGACCTTATGATTTTCACTTTTTTATCTAGTTATTTTTCAACCTCATTTATGTATACTTCAAAAGTACCCATTACTTAAGATTTTTCATACAACAAATAGAGATATCTATAACGTGAAAAATCAACTAAAAAGGCAATGAAATAATTTTCTCCTCCAAAAGATAGAACATCAGAGGTTTACAAATGTCTGTATGAATAATTTCAAAAAGCCCTATACTTATTGTGGCTCATTTCTTTGTGTGTTTGGTTTGTTTACCCTTAATACAATCTACACACACACCAAAATCAGTAAAGTTTAGATTCAAAATAATCACATCATTTACTAATTTTCCTAACATTTTACTAGATATTGACCTAGTCTTTTATGCCACAAGAAAGATAAATTTTCTATTAATTGAATTACGCTTAATTCTAACATTATGATGTAAGATCAAAAGGTTTTTAATAAATAAATTTTAAAGTTTAAATTTACAGAAATCATCAATAATAATACCATAACTCACAAATTAAAATTTCTTGAATAAACATCATTATCAAATTTAAATGAAAAACCATTAACATAAAGTTTTGAAATAAAATCAAATTATGAAAAATTGAATAAACATAAAAAGTTTAAAGTAATTTAAATAAAATCCACTGTCTAACATTAAACATAATGTCACAATGGTTTCAACAAAAATTTTTCTCTATTATCATAAATAAGAAATTCTTATTTGAATTTGTGGTTTATACCATAAGAAATTATTGCATCTATTAGAAACATAAACATTAGTACTTAAGTCAACCTATCATGTATTAGTAAGAATTTCAATAAGTAATTTGAAATATACAAAAACCAAAAACTTACCATTCTTTTTCGAATTATTCTTTATATTTCATGTAATCTTATTAAAAGTGTTCAATACATTAATGACACTTTTTCATTATTACATTCCTTTCTTTTAGTGGATTGACCTAAATTTTTAATTTTGGGTGTTGCTCACTTAATTCCTTTTCAAGCTTATTCCCAAAATTTATTTATAGCTTCTTGAGTAATTAGATGAGCATAATGATTACAAGCTGCTTAAGCATTGTCTCTTCCTAAATTAACATATGGTCAATTCATTCACTTTCACTTGTCTTAATTCGAAATAACCCATACTAAGTGGACAAGAAATTGAGAATAAATTTAATGAGAAATTTCTCATTCATAATCATCCATAAGGTTCTAAATTTTGTAGCAACATTATTCATCTTAAGAACATACTCATACATGGTAAGAGTACCAACAAAATTGAATAGTAGTGATATAAATTAATAATTTTCGTTTTAGATATTTATCTACAATATGAAAACATTCTTTTAGTCAAAATATTCCTTAGCACTATCACTATGGGAAATAATTATTCGTATAACTATAATGCTTAATCTGTTCGATCTCTTCCAAGTTTTATGGAGAATGTTTTCTCCCTCACTGTTTTTATCAGTAATAACAGTAGATTTCTCAATTTAAAATGTTAAATCAAGATTTAACACATCTAAATTTTGAACTCAACTTACTCATTCCATTATGAGAAGTTAGTCCTATTGAGAATCAGAACAGATGTAGCATGCGCATTAAGAGATATAATAAAACAAACATAATAAGATAAAATGTTCACAACAATAATGCTTGGAGTTAACAACACGTTTATATAACTTTAAAATATAAATATAATATAAAACTATAGTACCCCTTTGGGTGGCAACTATAAAATATTAATAATGATGCTTACATGTATTTATATGTATACTTTCATTGGTGATGCATTATTTAATTAAACAGATAAGTTACCTTAGAATATCCTATATCTACTTAATTAAAAAATATATATAACCCATTAATTTTTATTTAATCATTTGAAAATCAATTCCCTTTGGAGAATTATTTCTCATGGTCAAATAAACCCAATATTCATTAATATCAGAAAAATTATAAGTATCATAATTCATGAAATATTGCAATTATGTTTACCACTAAAATTAATATTCATCAACCATTATGGATTGGCCACTTTGGTAGCTACTAATCTTTACATAATATGAATATTAAATTAGACAGTAACTAATTTATGATTAATTATGTCTACTACAAAAATTAATATTCATCAATCATTATGATTGGGCTACTTTGGTAGCTATCAATCTTCACATAATATGAATATTAAATTAGACAGAAATTAATTCATCATTAAGTTATATTTATTACTAAAATTAATATTCATCGACCATTATAGTTAGGCCACTTTGGTAGCTACTAACCCTCACATAATACGAATATTAAATTAGCTAGTAACTAATTAATCATTAATTTACCCATTTAATGTTACACACATAATCATAATTGTCGATTGAAGTTTAAGCAACTTCGATCTCAAAAACTTAATAGTCTGAAATTTCAAAGAAATATTTTTTTATTTTATATACATAATAAAATATATATATATATATATATATATATATATATATATATATTTTCAGACTTGAACATCATAATTGAATCAATTTAAAATTGATTTTCCAATATGTATGTATGTTTGGATACAAAACAATAATTTATTTGTATGTTTAACAAAATGAAATTAAATTTCTAAACTCACACATTATTCCAGAAATTTAATTTTCTACAATAAAATAAATCAATCTCCATTAATTTGTCATATATGTAATTAATGATATATGATAATAAGTATATATATAAGTTTGTACAAAAACCAGTAGTTAGCATTAAAATTCATCACCTCAATTTACACAAAAAGCAAAACCAACTATTTCAATTCCAATTGCTATTCTAGTCATGCACGGACTAAAAAAAAAAAAAA